TCCCTTTTGTCTAATTTGATAAGAGCACCAGAGGCAGATGAGGACGAACACGAATCCGAATCTTTGCATTTTTTTTTTTAGTTTTTTTTGGGCGTGTAAATTGCCTTTTCCTTGCAAATTGGGGGCGTGGCGAGGCTGTTCTGCAAAGTGCTCAAATCGCTAGGGTTTCAGTTGGGCCCAAGAACAAAAGAAAAATCCACTCGAATTCAATTGTGCGAGAAAAAAAACTTTTCTTAATTACGTGGTTCATAACTTTTTTTCGTTTAGTTTTAGTCGTACTTTATGTTGTCGATTGCAGTCGTTGCGTGGGTTTCATTATTAGTTTTATCCAGGATTCGATATCGCTTTGTTTAACTCCACTAAGCTGAAATTTATTGGCACAACTTCAAAAGCGAGCAAAAGTTTTTGCCAGACCAACCTTTCAGCGAACACCTTTTACATGTTTTTGGCATGAAAAAGCGTTAAAAAGTTTTTCGCCAGGCATTTTTGCATGACGTGTTGAATAGTTGTTCTTGTTGCTGTTTCAGTTACTTTTTCTATGTCCTTTTGCGTTTTTTGTTTTCATCTGCAGCAGAAAAGGTAATGGGTTAATTAAGGTTTTTGCTGCGCTCAGACTGCACGATGAGTTAATTAAGTGGCATGAAATTCCTAAAAATAAAGAAATGCAACTAAATTGATTGTGAGTTGTAAGCCAATAGATGTCGAGCAATCTGAGTCAAGCTTAGGCAGGCAATGGCTATGACATTGACATTTTTGTTATATACAATTGAGGTTAAGTTGAAGCTTAAATAAGGTTACGGTGAATAAGTCGGATTGCCAACAAATGAAAGTGAGTAGACAAACATGCGAAAGGATTGCTTTAAACAGAGACACAAAATAAAGTAAGGTTATTTGAAGAACTTCAAATTGAAATAACCCAGCATAATATTTCACAATATGCTTTCATCTTTTATTAAACATTCCCCTGAAAATAGCTTTCCGTTTGTTTACTTTATTTAGTGCTCTTAGAAAATTGCAGTTACATATTGATAAATTCCTTTGTTGACCGGCGCCAAATTACGTAGAACATCCGACAATTGTGGATAAAGCCGATAGCATATCATGCCATACTTATAAATGTATCAGAAACTTGGCAGAAAAAGAAGAAAAATCATTGCTTATTGTTAATTTATTTCCTTTTTGGCTTTAGAATTTTTTTATTGACTCGCCTTGCACAGCAACAGCGAACTGACTGTCCCGACTCTGCGGATGTGGTACTTCCGGTGCCATGTGCGCCGTGCACACGACAGACCCAGGCACCCACAAACCAACGTGAGGGCATTGACCATAAATGGCAACAAGAGAAAGAAACACACACACTTCGAAATGGGACAGGCAGGATTGGCAATAACAAAGCCTCGACACATTTAGGGGGACTTTTAAGCGCCTTGGCCGGGGCTTGTAATGAACTTTTATTTGCATTGTGCAAAGGGTGCGGCGCGTGTGGTGTGTGGGGACAATGGTTTGAGCTTGTACAGCTCTAGACAAGTGTGCCACATTCTTGTTCAGCTCAGCCATAAGTCGATACACTTGCCGCCCATTTCAATTCATTCATTTAGCCCATAAAGCGACCGCCGCATGTGTCGTCAGCGACAGTCCAAGGAGGAGTCCTCGACTTAGTCTCTCAATTGTGGGTGTTTGTGGAGGGGACTACCGCTGCCACCCCCAAATCGATTTATGGGCATTTCCGGGTTGAAATCACTTAAAAGAACTGAAACGGGGGTAGGCCGCTTGTTAGCTTCTCAGACACCGAGGCCTTTTGTCCTCGTGTTTTATATAATTCCCCCCTTTTTGTTGAACATTCATATGGACGTCGATTTCTATTTGCTTTCGCCCTTTCTAACTCTGTGTGTGTAAAAATTTTGCGCAAATTTGTAAGCTTTATAAAATAAATATTGCTTGGATGAATTTAAAGAAGGGAGCCGTCTCAGTTATCTTTTGGGGTTTGTTTTCAGCCGCTTTTGAATCACAATCTACTTAGAACACAATGATTTCTGATGCTGCTCAAAGGGTCTTTGTGTCTGCGGTTTGTTTTTGGTTGAGTCATCTATAGTTATTTGTTGATGTCTATTTTTTTTTTACGCTCTGATTGAGTTATTGTTATCACGCTAATGGAAACTGCACTTTTTGGATAGACATAATCGATATTCATGTAAGACAAACTCACCCTTATGGTTCGAGATAACTTGGGGTTGTCCAAGTGCAAATAATTGGCGAAACAAGTCTTTTTGAGAATGATTTCAATTTGTATGTAACGGAGAGCTGTAAATTCAGATATTGCCTCTTCTGATACAGTTCAGTTACTCATAGTCCTAACTTTTATTTCCCGTGTGTTGCTGAATAACAGTGCACACTGAAGTGCTTTCGCCTGATGAAAACTTTTTTTTTAGTGCTACACAAATAAGCACACAAAAATTATACGCATAGTTCCCAAAAAATAAAAAAAGGGAGGATTTTAATAACCGCACAGGCGATGCTGTTGCTCCGTGTTGGCTTTATAATTTTGATGACTATGGTCGGTCGTTGTGTTTACACTTTCAATAAAAATCTACTCTGGCTTAATGTGCCAGACGGTACACGAGGGGCTGCTGCCCCTACCATAGACCCGACCAGAAGTGTCCGGAGCTCTTGCCACAATTATGGCCTTTAACCCTTTTGTCAACAACTTGAGTTTATTTGGACTTTATATGCACATGCCAGGGTTGTCGGCGTCCGCTATTGCTGTCTGGCTTTTAGCTGATGCCAGCCAAAAAATGCCTTTGAGCATTGTCATAAGCGGGTTTTCTGGTCCGCCTCCAACCCGCTTCCCGTGCAGCCCGCATAATAATTTTATATGCTTTTTGGCTGCATTTTTGCATAGTCAGGATGGGAAGTTGCGAGCTTTGAAATTTGTATGCTCCGTTGCAGAATTACTTTGCGAGAATTGTTTCACAGAATATTTTCTGTGATTTTTGTATTTTTTTTTTTGCACAGCTCTTTAAGACTCTTCAATTGCGCTTTAAATTAACTAATTAATTGCTAAAACTCTGAACATTTTATTTGTATTCGTTGTTGTCGTTAGCAAATATTTTGTTTTGTCTTTTTATTTTGTGGACATTTCATTAAGCGATTGAACTCACCCTATCAATAAGTACCCCCAATGCGGTTGCAATTTTTCGCAATTTGCCAGCTCACGTAATCAAAATAATAATAATAATAATATTTTGATTTGAATTTACCCATCAAATAACACAATCCCAACAACCCCCGACAACCAACTGACGCGTGTTTGTAATTTACGATAATTGCGCTGACTTGTGACATTTTCAATTAATTTAAATCTGGGGGCCGGAGGAGTAGAGTCCTATGCTCATAATGCCGGTTTGTTGAAAGCCAGATAGATTTATTAATTAGCCATATTTATATAAGTAGGGAACTGAGGTTTGTGTGCGCATGGATTTGATTTGATTTGGTTTGGTTTGCCCTTCTCCGTCCGAACAGATTTTGACAATGGGGTGCTTTTGGAATGTTTGACTGGGATAATTTATTAGATTTATGTAATTTGTTGCTCTTAAATGAATCGAAGAAGGTGCAAATTCGACAGCTGTCAAGAGTTCTTTAGTTGTTTACGTAAATAAAATCAAAATAATTAAAAGATTTGCGTAGAACTTCGAGTAATAATTTTTGCTATCAGTATATGTTTAATAAATTAAAATAAGAATTCTTCTCTATCATAATTAATAATGCCTCTCAATGCTCTTTCAAACATACAAATATCTTTATTTATTTTCCCTTTTAATATTATCTTTAAAGCCAATTGAAATTGGTTTTCTCCCATTTTTTGACTAATAAAAAACCTTAACATTGGCTAAAAAAACTTTGCCAAGCACCTTAGCGCAGTTCCATAAAATCTAATTTATGCATTGCCTGCATTCTGCGAACCCCCCTCTCTTGCACCGCTGTTATCGCCCCTGGGGAGCTCACACTTTAAATAGGCATTAAATTGATACAGCAAGCAAAAAGTTTCGTTTCTTTTTTGCGCACATTGCAACCCTCCGAACGCTGCGAACGGAGCTGCCAACTCGACGCACAAAATTCTAATCGCTTTATAACTTCTAACGCAATTTATCAGCACTGCCTTCCGGAGCACCTTCACCACCATTTAAAGTGCTCAGCTGGAAAAGTTATTGTTAAGTCTACGAAAGCGTCGCTTGCACGCACTAAGCACTTGATATGACATCGTCCTCAATCCTCCCTCATTTCTCTTCTACCCGGCAAACCAGTACCAGCAAAATATCCATATAAAGTAGTCACAAGTAGTCCTTCCACAAGCTGTGTCTATCGCGTGCTTTGCTTTTTCGCACTTTATACGCTAGTCTTTCAGTATTTCCAGTATGTCTTCCTGGCTGTCGTTTTGTCCAGACTCTGGCATGCTGGCGGAAATTATTGTCGTCGACTTTATGCATTTAGTTTTTGTGCTTTTTTTTTTAGCCTTTTTTGAGATGCCAAAACTTTTAGACGCCGCCACACAAAAAGTTGCTACATTTTGTGGCATGTTTTCCATTTTTCTTTCTCTTAATTTCTTGTGTACGCTTGCATTTTCCATAAGTTTTCCCTGGACCTTTATTCGATTTTCTCGTCTTTCAAAAGAGAGGCAAAAGAGTAAACAGATTTGTTTATTTATTTACCACGATTAGTGCACCTTTTTTCATGTCAATTGTGAATGGATATTCTATTGGGGAAGCACCGAAAGCTGAACGAAGTTAGTCACCTGAAACAAAGATTAGTCCAAACCACAACAAGATAATAATTACTCTGCAATCTTTACAACTGAACATGGAAAATGACTCACAATGATTCAGAATATGTGAACTACAACGATAAGATAACTCTCTATCTATATTACCTGACATTGTTGTCTGATAAGCAAAATGGCCCACTAAAAGTATATATTGCCAATTTGTTCAAAACAAAGCACAGTACACTTGTTCCAGTCAAGGAATTAAGATCTATCGCAGAAAGGATTTACAAATAAATTAAAAATAATTAAAATGCCACCACCAAATCACGAGGATCGTCTCTTTGGCATCCACATGGGACTGCACTTGGGACATCATCATCACCACCATGGACACCACGGACATCCGCCGCCGCAACACCACCATCATCACCACGGACCACCACCGCCGCCGTACCATGATCACCATCATCACCACCACCATCATGGACCCCCGTCGCATCACGTTGTACACTATGACCACCACCATCATGGTCATCATGGTCATAGCCATCATGAACACTATGATTACCACCATGGACCACCACATCATCACTGCTAAATGGCTGCAAAAGCTTCGAAAATATCTACGGTTGAACTTATTCATCCATCTGTGAAGTGAATTTAAATAGTTATACAAAAATCATGAACCAATCATATTTATTTACAAACAATTAAATGAAATAAAATCACAACGAAATGCGTGTTTCATTAGGTTGGGAAGTGGAAAAATGAAAAAATAAAAGTATATCTATACACACTTATATTATATTCGGAAATACAGAAAATATATAGTGAAATGAATACATCGAAGCGCTTTAAATTAATCAAAAACAAACAATAATCATTTAAAAGAAGAAAGAAAAATATAATATAAAGCATGTTCCAAAACAGAGAAATGAACAAAATAAAATTTACATGTAAATATTTACACATAATAATGAAATCATTGAAAAAATTACAAAATATAAAAATAAAATAAATGCTGAAATCGAAAACTGTTTAAATAATACAATTTAACTATTTTATAGGAAAAAATAATATTAGTTTAAAACGTGTTTCTTGACTTGGGAATATTCAAAAATTAAAACAAAAGAAAAAATAGATAGATATATATATAAATTAAATAATAAATTAATATTCTCTTAATAATAACTTGAGTAACACAATATAAATACAATACAATATAAATTCTCATAATGTTTTCTAGTTATTAAGTATTGTGAAATTGTTTAACTAAAGTGCGTAGAAACTCTTCAAATGACGCATTGAAAATGATAAGAAACACAACTTATTCCAATTGATATCTTATCATTTAGACATAAGAATTAAAAGATTGCTATTTGTGTATTTACACACCCTCACAAAAGAGTTTGTTTTAATATATAATTAATCTATATAATGGTTAATAATAAGCGGCTTATGCAGACCACGTACGAGTGCAATATGGCCACAGTGGCAATTCAATTAGTTATAAACGGAGAGAACTAAGCGCATAAATATAAATGAAATTAACTATCAATGGCCCAGACAAATATTGACCAATTACAGGCCATTAGAACTGTTTGTCGCAAAACGCTAATTAGCTGCAACTACAAATGGGTAATTACATTTTTTCCGCAATCCCTCTTGGTGTGGAGGGGGCTGTCGGGGTATAGGGAGGACTGTCATAAAATGCAAAATGTTGCCTAGAGTGTGGGACGTTGATTCGACACCTGAAAATATTGGTAATTAAAATTGGCCAGTTGGCCAGTTGGTCAGCTTTGTTGGCCGTCTCGCGAGGTTGTCTAATAATGTTGTAAAACATGTTGCCATTAAAAAAGTCGACAGACGCAAAAAAATGCCCCGAAGGCAACAGCAGGCGCAGCAACAGCAGGCGTTAAGTTTTATAGACTTTATTGACAGCAAAAATAAAAACAAAATATAAAAAATAAATAAATATAAAATACTAGCTACTCTATGTATGCCCCACCATATACTCCTCGTATAAAGGCTTTAATCGAAACTCTTGACGACAGACCGCGCAAATGGAATCGGTAGCATTTCTCAATCTGTCTGCCTGTCAATTAAATATGAAAATTATTTTCGACCAACCCACCAAATGGCGAGTCAACTCCTTGTCTCTATGCATTTTTGACAATTTCATGTGGCAGACCTTAAATTGATGGCTATGACAGTCAAACACCTAACACACATACACACAGGCTTCAGGCTAAACCCATAGACAATTAACGTCTCAATTCATAATTGTCATCATATTTTGTCGTCGCTCTTAATTAAAAAATGAAATTATTTCAAACGCCCACAAATTCAGTTCGGGTCGAAGCCAATGTAAACGAGCTGTTCGCCAACCTTAATTGTTATTGGAACTTAATTATACGGCAAATCAATAAAAAATCAACAATAACCAAGATAACAACAGTTGGCGGCACATAATTTAAATACATTTTATGAGAACGCAAAGATTTTTGTATTAATTACATTTTTGTACTAGGAGCGAATGGAAAATAATATATATAGATTAGATAGATAGATAGTGCAAGGCTTTTAGGACTGCCTTTCTTATCTTATCAGTTCTTTTTTGTACATGTTTTTATATGTATAAAAATAGAAAACCGCTTTTTTGGATTGCGCAATTTGTTATAATTTCATGAATAAAAGTTTTAGATAATTATTATTCGCACTCTATACATCATGCTTAAAGTTTTTCTAAATGTCTAATGATAGTCTTTAAAGATTAAGTAACTTAAATTAGAAAGATTGCTAGCAGATACCTGGCAATAATTGATTATATTTTCTTCATTCTTTCACGAATAACCGACCAAGACAATATCGATTGTTTTACATTTTAACTAATTACGTCAATTTTCTTTCCTTTTCAGGTATGTAATTTGGGATAATAACTACATGTGGTTCTCAAAATATATCAGCGAGATCACACGACTGCTTAAATAACAAGAGACTAAGTATTGCATAATATAATAGCAGTATATCTATCTATTATTGAACACATGGCCTTGTCTGTAGGCAATATCATCATTATGTTAATAATGCCGCCGGCACATTACAATCAAACTCGAGAGCAATTTCAAGAATTCAACTCACATTCGCCATTATGACATTTGACCATCTGCGATTACATAAAACAATTTAATAAACCCATGAAAAATCAAAAATGCGATAAGTGCGCTCCTAACATAGAACCGCAGCCAACTCAAACTCAAGACTCTCCTACACACACACTCATGTGCCAATAAAAATTCCTTAAATAAACATACAAGACCAGTGAGTTAGTGCGAGAAGGATGAAAGCGGGCGGCAGACAGATCTGGAGACTGAGGCTAAGACAAAGTCGTATCAAGTACGCGTGCTCGCAACTATCTGGCCAATGTAATCGGCAAAGAGCTGCGACCAAAGATCCCAGACTGGAAAAGGCCGACCCCAATATAGCAGCCACCACGGCATAATGTTGCTTGTTAGTACTAATGATGGGTAACTTTCCGACATCTGCTCTTCTTGTGCCCCAATACGCGAGCCGTTGCTAAGACAAATAAAGGAAATGAAAAGTCTACAAATATGTAGGTGCGACGACAACATTTAGATACTCTTTGATAATTATAAAATCAGAAACCGTAGAAAAACAGTTTGAGAAAATGCCCTGTTCGAAATATATATTTATAATTTCCAAGTATACTGAAATCAAATTACTTCTAAAAGGAAATGAGGGTTGCGATAATAGAGCATAGTATTTCTCTTTTAATTAAAATTGTTCTAAACCACATAAAACTTGGAAAGATATATTTCCTAAAAATATCTGTAAATAGAAGTACATTCCCCAATTCGTATTATATTTTATTTGTTTTATATAAAGTTATCTTATAAGCAGAATTGAAATTGTTCTAAGCCGTATAAAACTTGAAAAGATATATTATTGTTTTATAAAGTTATCTTATATAAAGTTAGCTTATAAGCAGAATTGCCTGCTTAGTGGTGATAGTCTTATGTAACTCATATTAAAGAGCAAGCTTTCAGCGCCTTGATTCCTTGCTTTAATTTGAAAGTTTAAAATGTACATTGCTAATGTATATACAATTTATTACTTCATATTTTAGTAGGTGAATTGCATTTTATAATAAATCTACGATAAGGTTAACGTTGTAGCTGGTATGATATGAAAGGGTTGGAATTGGCGAACGAGCAGCATTTTTATATGTGGGAGGACTGGGCAGTATTTTACAATATGTTCAATATAATAGCAACTGTCTTAAATACTGTATATAATGGTCTTAATAATAATAAGCTCAATATAATAGCAACTATTTTATATACTGTATGTATGTAATGGCATTAATATCTGTGAGTAAAAATATATATCCCTAATTCGTTACCCATTGCAAAAACCAATTTGTGAGCACATTTAAGGGCATACAAGTTGAGTCTATTAAAATTAGGCTTAAGACAGTTTCATATATTAAATTAAGATTATATTCGACAAGCCAAGTTACAAAGTAATTGGACTTAATGGAGTGTAGTGCATGCAAAAGCAAAATAAATTTGTGCGGCTGCGATAGAAGCGGCGCGATATGACTCCAAATGTGCCCAGGCAAAGCGATTGGAAGGCAATGGCGTTGCCCATTTCGCATGTACATCATAAATTGCCATGGAAGCGCAGCCGCCAACAACAAGTTTTGGGAACTATGTGGCTGACCGGGTACAGGCCTAGGTCCCGGTCCCGGCCTCTGTCCAGGTCGAGGTCTTAGACCCAGTCCCGGTCTCCGTCTCCGTCTCCGTCTCGGTAACAGTGCACGTCCAGGCAGTTGCGTCTAAGCAGTAAAAATTAATAGCCAGCATAATATGCGGCATTTTATGACAAGCGTGCACCTTAACGCAGCAGTTGGCCACGCCTCGAAGCCAGCAAATCCACCCTCCCCACTCTGGCGCCCACCGCCAAGAGGGGGGTCCATTCGATTTCTCATGGCATCACACGGCAACAGTCATTAGGCTCAGGTGAGGGATCAGTTGGAAGCGCAGCTCGGCTGTAGTCACTTGAAAATTACGCAAATTGAAAGTTACATCGTTTGGGCTGGTGACGCGAATCACCGAAATGGGCATTAGGCCAGCTAGGCGCAGTCAACATGGGACTAGTTAGCCGGACACCCAATCTCCATCTCTCTCTATCTCGCTGTCTCTCGCTTACTCTCTTCGCACAAGCTATGAGCTTCATATTGGTGCTACAAGATTCCGCTTTATGATAATTATACGCAAACCCCAGTGCCACTTTATTTATATGCATTTCGTTATGTGTGTGGTACACAGCGGCAGAAGCTTTGGAAAATTGAAAAACTTTGCAGTGTTTGTATAGCAAATATATGGCCGATTATGTAAGAGCTTATGGCAGTATATATATCGCTATTGGGCTGTTCGTGCGCATTGTCAGCTTATACGGAACGAGCTAATGGCTCTAAGAGTTTAATTGAAATTGCCATAAGGATGAGAAGGAAGCAACAAGTGGACATAAATTAGACAAAATAGAGATAATTAAAATAGATGGCATACTTAGCTAGCCTTTGAAAGTTATGCAAAATGTTAACGGTATAAGTATATTTGTAAAATGCGATAATTCATTTTTGTACTCTCTGCACTTAAGTAGATATAAGCATTAGCCTGAGCACATTGCATTGCCTGCATTTTAGGAA